CGGCGTCGAAGGTGGCGGCGCGAGCTGGGGCGTTTCTCGGCATGGAGTGCGGCTGATCACGCAGAGCGGGACCGATGGCGAGCCCCCCCCCCCCCCCCTCACTGGCTCTCGCCCGTCTGATTCTGTTCCATGCATGGTGTTTGCGTGCTGTTTGATTGGCAATTGTGCGAAATGCTGTAATTGGTTTGACATGTTCTGTAGGCAGTTGGCTACAGCGCCAGGTCCTGTGTAGTTGTATTAAACGAACGTTAGTGTTAAAAAAGTGTTAAACGAACGTTAGTCACTCTGAAAAAGCATAGGAGTTTGTGCATCGACACGTTGCTGATGAAATTGACACTTTGGTTTTACAAACCAAACAAACAAACCTGTGCTCCTCAGGAACCAGTAAAGCATGTTCGGTTTGTCTGACACCGCTGACGAGAAGGCCTGGACGTGATGAATGACAGTGCAATCCATTAAGAACGGTGAAGCAGGACGCGGGCTTGCGCAACAAACAGCGGTCAGCCACTAAGCTCAAGTGGAACGAGCGGCGGCCATCCGTTACATTCCAGCGCTGATTTGCGTGTTCTTTGCTCTCCTGGTGGCGTTCCAGGGTCAGTGAACGTCTTTCCAGCGCTGTCTGGGCTGCAGGTCGGACGGTGCACAGCTGACAGCCACGGGGCAGAACGCAGTACACCTGTAGCCTTCCGTCACGCAGCCACGGGGCAGAACGCAGTACATCTGTAGCGTTCTGTCACGCCGCCGCCCGAGCGACGGCGGCCGGTACCTCAGCAGCACCAGCGGGAATAAAAGAAACAGGCGTTCGTTGCATACCCTCTGCTGATCAATGATCCATTCGGCGTGTTTGATGAAATAACTATGGCGTAGATGTGGACGCGCTAGGCTATTTTATGGCGTTGCATGAGTTGGCAACGGTCGGCAGCGTACAGCAGACCGCTGCACGTTCTTCGCGTAACGTGGCAAGCAATGTCACCTAGCTGCACTGTGGCCCGGAATCGTAATGCAGCCACAAGATGGCTGCGGAGTTTTCCCGCTATTTTACGGGTGTGGCCAAGCATAAGGGGATCTGATGGGGACTTTGACAGGGAGTTTGTCGTATGTACATGCTGACAAACATAGGGGGATCGTATGGGGACGTTGACAGGGAGTTTATCGTATGTACATGCTGACAAACAGGGGGATCTGATGGGGACTTTGACAGGGAGTTTGTCGTATGTACATGCTGACAAACATAGGGGGATCGTATGGGGACGTTGACAGGGAGTTTATCGTATGTACATGCTGACAAACAGGGGGATCTGATGGGGACTTTGACAGGGAGTTTGTCGTATGTACATGCTGACAAACAGGGGGATCTGATGGGGACTTTACAGGGAGTTTGTCGTACGTACATGCTGACACATCCGGGCTGTGGTCGCCGGGAAAGAGCGTGGCATGAATGTTCTCAGCTAGAACATATTGCCTCTGTATGCTGGCATGTGACACAACCATCAACGCGGCGCAGAGCACTTTGTGCAGCATCTAGCGCGGGGCGGATTGGTTTGGTCCCCGTTCGCTCTTACGGGAGTGCTGAACCTGTTATCCATGGATCTGGGCTGGATCCCCAGCAATCGGATTCTATTTTTTTCGTGGTGTTGCAAATGCCAAAGCTGCACAGTGGAGGGACAATTCTGGTCATGGTTGTTTGAGTCGCTGGAGCAATGATGCAATAATATTCCCAAGAAAAATTCAATCATGTACGTCCCTCGCACAAATTAGCGTGCCGTGTTGTGAGGGTGAGCGCACGGGGCCGGCCGGCCGACGGTCTGGTTTCGATCTGAGGAACAATATCGCCCGGCTGCTCGGCGTGCAGGCGGTTCTGGTGCGCCCATTCTGGGCTGGCTGAGAAATTGTTATTGATGCAAAGTGAATAGCGCCGGTAAAACTAGTCAGTATAGATCAAAAATAATTATAAAGAATATCGTGCGCAGAGAAACAGCTTCAATAAATAGTGGCAAGAGTGATAGTTCTCGACAACGGCAATACCTTTTTACAATCAGGTACCGATCGACCCCTTCAGCTGCTTAAGTCATCCGGGTTGAATTATGTTTCGCGTCCTGTCGTGCTTCTATCGTACCACGTTTATGCTTTGCCAAAAGGTCCAGCGAAACGGCCGGTGTAGTTGTTAGGCGCAGGACGCGCACTCATTGTTATTTATTTGTTCCTGATATTAGTTGTTTAAACAAACTAGGCTATTACTAAGACATCTTGCATATTTGGCTCTCCTAGATTTAAAGTTAGCACAGCGGCTGATGCGCCGCCAATCCACGGCCGCTCATGTTTCGCCGGGTGGCGCCCGGGCGGCCGCGCTGCGTGAATCAGCGAAGCAGCCCCGTCCAAGGTCCAGCGACGGCCCCTCGCGCCGCCCGCCGAGCGCTGATCGCCTTGAAGCGGCGGCGAGGTGACGTCACCGTGGCCGAGGGCGGCGGAGCGGGCGGCGGCGAGACTGCTCGGCGCGGCGACCTCGCCGCCGGTCGCGTGTCCTGCGGCTCCCCGCACGGCACGGGCTGGGGCCGGGCCGGGGCGGCCGGCCCAGCTGGCCCCGCCCCGCGGTACGTTCGAGTGCAGTGACTGCAGGCTTGTCGGGCCGGCCGAGCTGGCGCTTACGTTTCACGTGCCGAGTGCAAGCCGCAGCCCTCCCTCACCTGTGGTGGCCGCGGGCCGCCCTGTGCGGCCGCTCGCAGGCCGGGCTGCGAGCGCAGCCAGCGCATGCTCGTCGTCAGCACAGACGGCGGGCGGATGGAGCGCAACTGTCTTGTGTGGTAATGCGGCATCTAAAACGGCCAATGCCACCTTAGTTACGTTCTCGGGTTGCACGGGTGTTGCGTTTTGTGCCTGTGGGCTTCCAAGTATCAGGCTGATTTATGTTTGTGGCGCGTGATAAATCTGGCCTTTGGTACCGATATGCCCGGTCCGTTATGACTAGGGATGATATCGGCGGCCTCTGTGACTCGCTGCTGCGGCGCCGAACTGCAGGCTGCTGCCGGCTATGTTCCATTGTTTTCTCCCATTCCGGTGTCGTCGGAAATACAATGTCTTCTCACGGCCGGTGGAATCAGCCTGCTCCAAAGGCGCACCGAGAGCGTGCCGCCGGTCCGCACCATCTTCCCGTGTAAAGAGAATGTTCCACCTCCGAAGGTGTTGAAGCGAGCATCAGCATGATGAAATCTGCTCGCTTTAGCTCTGGGTAGAATTTTAAGTAGAAAAGACTTCTCTGCACAGCACGATTTCTCTATTTAGTTAACATGCTCCTCAATACGCCACTGTTTTATTACGCCTTGGGGCATGAGGTTGAGGTTGTTTGCGTGAGGTTGAAGTGATGCCAAATTAGCCGGGCGAAATTGCCACTCTAGCTTTCGCTTGTGTTCTTTTAATCATCCGGGAGAAGGTCTCGGCGGTGCCGGAGGTGTTTTGAACCAAATATCGTTATGTTCTCGTGTTTTAGCCCTGTCTCGTGGTGTTTTTGCATATTTAACCGTGAGTTTAACGTGTTTACTTGTATTCGCACACACGGTCATGGCACTATTCTTAAGTTATTCTATTGCAAGTCTTATTTCCGTAATAAATAGAGCCCATGCCCACCTTCTTGTATGATGTAGCACGCAACGTGTTGGAACTCGCACAGCCTGTGCAGCGCAGCACAGCCTGTGAGAGTCAAATGACTTCCATTCTATCTGGAAAATGTGCTCACGAACGCGAGATCTGAGCGGCTCGACAATTATATTCCTCTTAATCTTGAACGCCGTATAGCCGATGGACTATCCAATACGACATTACCAGCCTCTTCGTTTCATTGTCCATTTGAGAACAATTTCCGTATTACCCGTGCCCAACGATAGAATTTCACAACACAGACGACCTTATTTTTACACAATAGATGGTTCAATCGAGCAATTTCTGTTGGCGTCTCAGAGATGGACAATTGTGTCTGCTATTTCTACAGAAAGTACGTGCTGGCGTCACTAAGCGCTAGACTTGGCCTATCATTAGATTTCTGTCACATGCATCTTTCTGTTTCTAGAACTAACTTGGTTTTTACGAAAAAGCGTACGATCAGTTGAAGTCGCTTCCATAACCGTCAGAACGTTTGCAGGAGTATCCCATTCTAAAATGTGGGCATATAAGCGTGCATTTTCTTGCATGTACATTTCATGCTTATTATGGATTTGTGTATAGGCATTTTGCGGGTGTCAGTTGTGTCAAAAGGATTATGGAATGACGATTACAAGATTTAAGTTTTGTTGCATCGATTGTTCTGCCAAAATTGCATTGCGCGTGAGGCCTTCATGGGGTATTTCAAAGTTGCGGTGCCCCGGACGTACGGCCTTGTTTTTTGTCTGATACCAAAGGAGCTATCGCTGGTTTATGTCAGGCGTCTTTCAGCCACTCCCGCGTTTTATGACTTAATCGACAACTCGTCTCTGAAATGTCCGCATCCAACAAATGCACTGCATTAGCGCAGGTCCCCAGAACAGCACAGGATTACGGCTGTGGTCGGCGGAGTATTAAACTGTCAATGCCCTGTCACGACGCCCGCCGCCGCGTCGCCTCTTTCCCGGCGCACTGTGCGGCTTGTTGGGTGAGTGATGATCGAGCCCCCCGGGCGCCATGAAACACAATTTGTCATCTGCGATGTGACTGTTCACCACGCCGGCCGCTGGCCACGGGCGGGCTCCGCGCTCCGGATGACCATGGTGATGGCTGCCCGGGCGCGTGCGGGCGGCGCGGTTGGTGTGCTCGAGCGGGCCAGTGCGGGCGGGCCCCGCGCTCCGGATGACCATTGTGATGGCTGCCCGGGCGCGTGCGGGCGGCGAGCGGGCCGTCGCCCCAGCGGTCCGGCGCGGCCGGCGGCGGCAGTGACGATGCGTGCTGTCGTCGGGCGCGACGCTGGCCAGCGGTCGGGGGCGGGCCGGCACTGACGGCCGCCGACGGTATTTTGAGCGCCCCGTCTCTGCTTTCAGCTGTGCTGTGATGGAGGATCTCATCGTGACAACCCGGCGAAAACGTGCTCCTTGTGCTTCTCAACCTCGTCGTCGGGTGAGCTTTCACACGTTTCATTTGTTATAGTTTGGTGCGCTTGTGTGAATTTATGTGCTCGTTCATCTTTGCATCTATAATGTATAATTGTGCTGTGCCTGGGTGATACGCGCATTCATGCGCGGTCCATATTTAGCGCACCAATTAATCGTATGTTCACTCACATATCGTTGGCGTCAGCACTCTCTGTCGGTCTCAGTGTGTGATCTGTAGCATCCAGTATGTCGTTCTTTGAGCAACACCTTTGTTACTTTGCCTCTGCGATGAACACTACATGTTCGTGTGGTTTCATGCCGCCTCATTTGTACCTCGAAAGACTGGCACTAGGAAAGCCTTAGTTTTAGTCCAAGTCTAAATTATCCAAGCTAGCTTTAGTCTAATATGCGTGCTTCTCGTCGTCCGTCCGACTACAGTTTCACGGCAAGTTGCATCGCCTCTGAATTTGTTTGCCTGTGAGCACTGATGCACGTTTAGCTGTTGCCATTGTCCAAGAATGGTCCAGCCACGTCGCGCTATGTGGAGCAGCCAGCGACCACCACTGGGAGTCGTCCCCCGAGATACCGGTTGGCCCGTGCAGTTCCCGGAGCCCCGCACAGTCAGCACGCCCCGTCTCCGGCCTTTGTCCGGGCCCTGTTCGATCTGTCGTCAGCACCATTCTCAGCTGGAATGCGTGGCGTCATGCGTGTGGACGGAGCGTTCGATGTGAGAGCCAACGGAAACTTTTTAACTTTGCTTTCCTTTTTTCTGTGACCATTTAACTACTTCAGTCCACACGCTTCGGCTTACCGCCGACCACTTAATCGGGACGTACAGTCACGTGTTAGGAAAATTCGCGACAGGTCTGAAGTCTGTGACATTCATAGTGATATTCGAAGTATCGTGGTCTGTGGTTAGTGTAAGGGGAAGGTAGAGGCTGCGTCGGGTTGAGTTATTTTTGCTAATTGGTAGCCTTGGAGAGGATTTGTGAGACAAGTTGGAAAGAGAATTGGCACCAGCTCTCCCAGCGAGGGATGACCATTTTGATGTACTGGATCAGGATCATGGTAAGTCGAGTGTACATAATATGGTGTATGGAAGTGTGGCACATGCCCTGCATTGCCACCTATCTTAACCGTAAGTTAAGTGCTTCTTGTCATTTCCGTCTCGTATAAATTTCTCTCCTTTTCGTTTGAGTTGTTCCCTCAATTTCTTCTTGTGCAAAAAGTATTCCTCTGCACTGACATGAAGTCTGTCCTTTTTTAACCACCACTTGTATTGACAAAGCCGAGCTTGGAGACGCGAAGAGCTTTGTTCCCGTTCTCCATCTTTTACGATTTCTGCAGCGCTATTTATTGGGCGGCACAGCCATTCACCACAGCACTCATTTTCCATGGCTACACTTGTATCAGGCAGTTGGAGTCGCTTCTTACCTATCCTAATTTTTACGTCGCATTTCCCCCAAAATTAGAGACGTAGCCGCACCTAACGTGCTTAAAAAGTCGTGAGCTGCATCATAGAAAGAATACTGGGCGGTGGGTGGTGCTGACAAACGCGTTAACGACAGATCGAGCAGGGCCCTGGTCAGTAGCGTACGCGACATCAGATCACATAATGCAGTCCGGGTTAGTTAACTGCCGACTGCGTTCGTGATTGAGGAATTTACTACTGGCGCCCAAGACTAGCCTTTGGGGGTGGCGTCTCTGGGAAACATGGCATAACAACTCTGGGGTGAAGCATAACACGTGCATGGTCAACTGCCTATGGGCGCCAGTGCGTTGACGGTGGGGCCTTGCTGACGAGTTCACTTTATATTCTAAAAGGCAGTTCGGAAGAGCTTGTTCTAACAGCGCTGAACTCAGGGAGCACAGCGCTGAACTCGTCCTGGCGCTCACGCCCGTCTGTGCCCTGCTCGTTAACTTCCCTCCCGTTGGGACAGTTCGTTATAGCGCAGGGGAGATAGCAGATTACGGAAGAGGCTTGTTTGCGTGCCGTATTTTCCGTGCCGGCAGTTGCTTGGGAGTAGACACGTTAGTAATCACCCACCGTGCTGGGTCGGCTGCGGCACGAGAACTCGGCTCGACGGTGGCAGCGCGCTTAAATGGGCCTTAGCCGGCGTGCCGCTGTTCGCCCTCCTCCCGGCTGGCACTGCGCCTGCGCCCGGGCTCTGCGGTCGGGGCGGCTGGCCGGACACGTGATAGCCCACAGCCGGCAGGTCACCGGCCGGGTGGTGTCCGGTTGCCGGACTGCGTTGGTGGACAGTAACGTAGGGTGCATGACGTCGGACCGCTATGGGTGGGCGTTCGCGGCCGAACCCATGGTGTTTCATCGTCGCCACGCGCTGTGGCGGTTTCCAGAGCGAGCTGGTGACATGGTCCGGGTGTCGTCGGCTGGTTTGGCCGGCGGCGGACGGGTCTCCTGCGGCTGTACAGTGGCCGTGCGCCAGGCCGGGGCGTCGTGCGTGGCGTCGCGCCGCGCGCCGGCCGCACGGTATGTCCGGAGCGCGGCGCGGCGCCGCGCCGTCGCGCCGCCGCGCGCCTCGGGCCGGGCCGGGCCGGACCGAGGCCGGTCGCCGGGGCGTGGCCGCCCGTCCGCCCCGGGCCACGGCGAAAGTCCAGCCGGTCGGCTGACGGGGGGCGGAGCGGCGACCGAGGCCGACGGCGCGCACTTGTGCCGGCCGGATGTGACGGCGGGGACGGTCTGGCCGGAGCCCGCGCCGCCCGCCCGCCGCCCGCCGTCAGCCGGCTAAACATAGCGGCACGCAGCGGGGACGCTCGCTCCGGCAAGCTTTCTTCTGATCGCCGGTCAGCCCCGAGTCAGTCGTGGAAGGGACGGCCCCACCGGGCCGATAGCAACCCATGCCATGTGATTTATTTGTGGTGGCAGTTAAAGGGAGTGCTCCGCACCTATGTGGGAGTTTTGAACTGTAATAGATACCTCCAAGACCTTTTTGCTGTTCACAATCCTGCCCTTTTTAAGACTTAGCCCCTCTTGTTTCTGCACACGCCGCGGAAATGGAGAAGGTACATCGGTGAGAGTATTTCAAAGTTACCTTGGCGTTCATGACGTCATTCAGATCCTGCCATTTTGTAAGCCATGGGACGATCAAGGCCAATAAGGATATGATTGTCGAAGTTTCATATCAAGCGTTCGTGAGGACGATTTCCAGATATAACGGCGTTCAAGTGGTTCTTAGTCAATGTTGTGCAAGGTATGATGACGTAATCAAAACGTGATGCTTTGAGGATTATATTTACTACTCATAATATTGCTGTCTAGAGCAGTCTCTTCATTCAAAAAAGCCTACCAATAGTTATAAGCGAACTTGTGTTCGTCATATCCGATGCTTGCTTAGATATCTTGAAATGTGAAACATTCCCTTAAAGCCCTCTACATGCGTGCACGATTGTCGGGTCTTAACGTGCTTGATCGCGACAGGTTCGTGTTCATTTCCTTGCACGAAACACGTTCGCGTCCATGTCCTTACAGAAACAGTGTTTGTGTGTCTAAACGAGTGAGTAAGATCCCAAATATGAAGCGTGTTGCCATCGCCACGCGGATATCTGGTTTCGATATCAACATCAGTCAGATCTCGAACGGGCTGTGTAACAGGCCATGAACCGGACCCCAACAAGTAAATGTTGCATAATATACCATTGTGTTGAGGCGTTCCACCACGATCGGTCAAGGGGCGCATTGGCCAGTGCAGTCGCTGACGCTTCACGGAAGGGGCGTGGCGATGTGTAACGCGTTCTCTAAAGACAGCAACGAAGCCATTCGGTCAGTGAGGTTACAAATTAACGTCTCCGGGTGAATGGCATGAAATCACCAATCAGCGACGGTATTTCTGCCTTCAGTTTTCTATCTCTTGTTGCTTGCTGGCGTTTGCGGGCGCGTCGACTGGGTTGGTCATTTTGCGCCCAAGTTTTCCATCTCGTATACCGCCTGGCAAAAGTGTCTATGACAAGAAATGACGAGAGTGTAACCCATCGCTGTCGGTGATCTAGTGTCATAGAACTTCACCTGTGGTAACTGATGGCGGCTGACTGCGCAGCAGGAGTAAAACCGACATATATGACGGCGAATAAAAAGCTTGTCACCAGTTTCTATTTAGCGACCTTGGCTGAACTGTCTCGCAGGGCAAAGGGCACTTGACTCACCCGAGTGCTTTAAAATAATGTTTGACATTACCGAGGGCCGCAGAAGCAATGATTGAAATGATGCAAGCTTTTGCGTTTCACGTCTTCGTCATTTGACATTGTAGAATGGACACTAGATGCTACCCTCGCACTTTCGATGTACCTACGCACGAGAATGTATCAGTTGGAAATGCTGTTTCCTGCAGTTCTGCTACTGAGTCATGCAGTACTCGAAACCCTCACATAACACCAACAGACGTGATTAGAGCGGCGCCAAATGAGTGCGCGCCATGCCGCCGTCCGGGGCGACGCCGGTCGGTGCTGCACCGTGCGCGCGGCCGGAGCGCCGAGGTCACACCCAAGACCAGAGTGGGCTGTCGGTGACCGTCGGTACAGAGCAAACAGCCGTCGATCTTCGGTGCAGAGCGAATTATAGCCGATATGATTAGCCTCTGATTTATCAGCATCATGGATTTTGGTAGAAGTAATGTTACATGATGATGAAAATCAAGCTGTTTAATGCGGTTTGGTTAAAGCGTTTTCGGACCGGTGCATTGTGTATCGCAGAACATGGTCGTCTTGGGTGGTGTATACCGTACACCAAACAAACGAACTTAAAGTACAATCAATGTTTGACTTACATCAAAGTCGTTCTGTTACGCTTCGGTTTTGCGACCTCGCGGTATTACACTCCCGTGACTAGCGTTACGTGAGAGCATTAAAAATGTATAATATATTTCGTCAAGAATGAACTTCAGTGGTTGGACATTTCTGTTCAGGCCGTTTGTCCGTTGGTCCTGTGGTTCACCCCAGTGGCCCTGATCCATGTGGGCCATGCGGTTTCGATCCACGGCTTCGTCGTGACCTTGATTAATCCATGAGATCTTTGTCCGCCTGTTGCGCTGTATATTGATCCATTTGATCTGCGTTATATTGACCGTCTAACACATTATTTGTAGTCAAGATGAGCCTGATTTCTCAAGTCACGACCCGCTGGGTCGACGTGATCTTGATGCCCTGACTTCGTCTTCTGGCATGTGGTTGTGCATGTGTATCAATGTCATGTCCAACAAAACGATGGACATACTGAACGTGGATTCCGGGCTGGCTTAACTTGTCTAGTTTGCCTGAGTGGGTAACAGGAACTGGAAGGAGTCGTTTCTTGCTTTCCGGAGAGCATGAACCGAGGGCGGCTAAAGGCGGCGCCATACCCGACACAGAGGAGGACGCTGCAACTCTGTAGATGCCGGCATGCCCGATAGTGTTCAAGTACTCCGCATCATGGACATTGACTCAGAGGGCTTCACATTCGCGAATGTGAAGCCCTGTGGCCCGTTTCTACCACCATGGGTATAATTCTTGGCCTTCCGTGTCCATATTGTTTGCTCGGCGTCCTTCTAGTTTGTGTGTGTATAGTATATGTGGCGCGGTCATGGTTCTCTTGCCGTAGCGTGTCCACAGCAGCGGTGTGTTACATAAGCCATTACCGTTAGTTCGTCATGCTATGGCCTTTCGGTGTCTGTGCGCGGTTGTCGTGTTTTTTTTCAGTCAGGCAAGTTCTTTGCGAACCGTCGCGAAATAACGGCTGCCGCTGCAGGTGGCTGTTCGCGTTGTGAAAATTTATTTCCTGTTCAGGATTGTCCCCTTTCCCTGATGTACGGTTAGGATGGGCACTGTGGGACGGGCCTAACAGTCGCTTTCAGGACAGCAGTGTGTGGCGTGGCGTGCCTGTGTTTCCTGTGGTCGCGTGCGGGTGTTGCTCGCAGCCTGAAGGTGTGCCCCGGCCACCTCCGGCCCCCCTCCCAGCTCTGACAGGCCTGACGCTCGTTCCAGCTTCTGACACCCTCCCATCTCTGACGCCTCTCCCGGCTGTGACACCCTCCCAGTTGGGACACCCCTCCAGCTTCTGACACTCTCCGAGCTGTGACGCCCTCCGAGCTGTGACACCCTCCGGGCTGTGACACCATCCGAGCCGTGACACCGTCCCAGCTGTGACACCCTCGGAGCTGTGACACCCCTCCCAGCTGTGACACCCTCGGAGCTGCGACACCCTCCCAGCTGTGACGTCCTCCCAGCTGTGGCACCCCTCCCAGCTGTGACACCCTCCCAGCTGTGACACCCCCCGAGCTGTGGCACCCTCCCAGCTGTGACGCCCTGACGCTCGCTCCAGCGCTGTCGCTCCTCACGGCCCTGACCTGCCTCCCGGCTCTGACCGGCGTCGTCGGCGCCGTTACAGAGCACATATGCAAGCTGCGGCTGCTGCGGCGCAATCGCCCGAACGGCGGCGACTTCGAGAACCAGGTGAACGTGCAGTGGTCCACCGGCAACTACTCCAACCTGGCCATCCGCGACAAGCAGCTGCGTCAGCTGCACACCAAGGTACGCCGGGATACGCCGGAATACGCCGCGGTACGCCGGGTACGCCGGAGTACGCTGGGATAGGCCGGGATACGCCAAGGTACGCCGGGTCGGGCCGGAGCTGTGCGTCATGGGTGCGGCTCGCGGCCCTGTGGACAGCCCCACCGCCGCTCCAGCTCAGCTGTCGGTCCGAAGTTCAAGGCTCCCACTGACAGCCGGTAGTCAGGGATTCCTACGCGGCCCATCAGTGTGTCGAAAGGCACCAGCACTGTCAGCGAATGTTTTGTGTTGTGTGGGGGACGTTTCAGTACGGTTTGGTACGGATGTTTGGGCTATGCCCTCAGTGCAATGCGCTCGTATTTCAGGCACTCGCTGTTGACACATATTTGAGATAGCGCGCCAAACTGCCAAATACCAATAACATGACGTGCACGGCCCCATCTTGAACGTGTTCCGGAAGCCTTTTGAACCGATAGTGTTTGGTGAGTCGGATTCCGATTCGTCTGCTGTGGTCGAGGGCACCTGCGGCGGGTCACCTCGCTTGGTTTGGTGGCGGTACTGAACCGTGCACCGCTCGAGCCCCGTCAGGTGGCCCGGTCCGTTCCGACCTGCCCGCGCCCCCGATCGCCCCGTTGTTGACGGCTGTGCAGCGCTGCCAGTCCGCTACTTCAGTGTCGGTCCGGCTTCAGCTGGTTTGTCGCCGTGTTCTGCTCGGTCTGGTATTTCCGTGACCTTCCGTGTTTGTCGCTCGTTCCTTCCCCGAACACTGTTATTCTCGCCGCCGCTCGGTGTTCTTACCGTCGTCTCCGTCTTGTACCTTCTCGAAGTGCCGTCAGCGCTCCTCAGCGCCTTACCGCGCGCACCCACCACCGTCCACCGTGTATGGACGTGTGCGGTCCTCGCTGTACGACTCTCTCGCCCTCTGAAGTGCTCGTGCACCGGCTGCCTCTCCGCGTCGTGCCGTGCCTTGCCGTACACCGGACGCCAGCTGTGCATGTGTGCTTGTCGGCAGTTGGAGGGCATCATCTCGCAGCCGCGTCTGCCGGCGTTCCCGCGCGATCCGGACTCTAGCGGGCAGCTGAACGGCTACTTGCAGCACCTGCAGGGCCTGTCGGCCGTCACCTGGCCGCGCTCGCAGTCCGTCTTCGAGTTCTTCCGACAGCTGGCCGGTGCGTGCGCGCCGCGGCGGTGACGGAGACGCTCGGGGGCTGAAAACGATTGGAAATGACGTCTCAGACTGGAGTGTGTGAGCCATCGCCGTTGTGTGTAATGGGACGTGACCTCCAGGGGAGGGTCTGTCGGCTCCACCATGGTGTGTCACACACTGATGTGTCATTGGCTGGGCACTCCACGTCCAAGCCGTTGGTTTATCTTATGCACGGACCCGTTGCGTGGGCGATGTCTGGTACGGAGCGGCCTCCGCCGGTGCACTGAGCGCGGACCGTCGGCTGGCGGCGCGGCGGCGTGTCGGCCGGGCGCCTGACCGCCCCGCCCCGTCCCCGTCCGCCGACAGACGAGCAGGAGCAGCGGGCCGGACCTGCCGGTGCTGCGCGGCCCCACTCGGTGTACACGCCGCGCCTCCAGCCGCCGCACTCGGGCTCCGAGCCGACCGCCAACGGACTGCCGAGCTCCGCCGAGTCGCACAAGCTGACGGTCAGTGGCGGGGCGCGGCCGGCGCCGGGCGCCGCTCGAGCTGCCGAGCTCCGCCGAGTCGCACAAGCTGACGGTCGGTGGCGGGGCGCGGCCGGCGCTGGGTGCCGCTCGAGCTGCCGAGCTCCGCCGAGTCGCACAAGCTGACGGTCGGTGGCGGGGCGCGGCCGGCGCCGGGCGCCGCTCGAGCCGCCGGCGAGCCCGGCCATCGGCGTCAGCTCGGCTGCCGCTGAAGCCGATGGAAATGATCCATGCACGAATACCTGCGCCTGTTACTCTGGTAATGTGTCGCTAGTGATGCAGATGAGCTGTTGTTTGCCAGTTCGGGTGGGGAGGTGGAGATTGCGATCGGGTGCGATTGATTGAGATCGGGCGGCGAGGAAAGTTGGGAGTCACTGTCACCAGCTCATTTGGGAAAGCACTGTATATGACGGCAGGGATTGTCATCCCCCCGTGGTAGGAGGCCGTCCCTTACACGCCAGAGGAACCTCTCACCTGTCGACAAACGTCGCAGCATGACGTCGCTGCCGCTCAGGCGCCGCCGGCCTGCCGCGCGGGCCGAGCGTGTGACCGTCGCCGCCGGCCGCCGCAGATACCGGCCCAGAACGGCACGGCCGAGGCGGACGACTCGGAGACGAGTCCGGCCGTGCTGGACGACGACACGGAGCTCAAGTCGTACACCATCTACAACAGCAGCATCACCAACGGCCGGGCCGGTGAGCCGACGACCGGGGCCGGTCGGAGCGGCGCGCGGACAGGGCCATGTCGCCTCGTAGTTCGAAATGCAGAAGATTCGCTGAGCGGTAACGGGAAGCACGGCGTTCGCGCCCAGTATCCACTTTAAGACAAATATAGACGTTTGCATATATCATTTTACACAAGTTTATGCAAGCGGCTTTCATCCCGAGAACAGCAAAAGTGATTTCAGGAGGCCCGCCAGGAAACGGGTTATATGTGTAGAGCGCTGCGACATCTGATTAATGCAGTATCTTTCTTCTTGCGAGCCGCTTGCCTTTTTCGAGTTGCGAGGTTTTGGTTTGCGTTGCTTGTAAGATTATAATTCCCACATGGGTGTGGAAAATGTAAACTGGAAGGCCGTTGTGAAGGTCAGTTCTTGTAAAAGTTTTGTTCTCAGTTGTCACTTTTCTCTCGTCCCCTGTTGTCGGGTTTTTGTTCTCGCGCTTTAAAGGTTCGCGACGCGTTTTGAGGGAAGACGATTTTTCGGCCCGAATAATGCGCACCCATTTGCGAGTGCGTCGCTCATGTCGGCCGGCCATCCATCACGTGCCAGGTGCCGTTTGCCTGACACTGATGTGGCCGATGACCGCGCCGGCGCCGTGCTGTCGGCACGCCAACTGCCCACCCCGGGACGCGTCACCGGTGTAGCGTGTCATGCTGCTGCCCGTCACTGCCCACCCCGGGACGCGTCACCGGTGTCGCGCGTCATGCTGCTGCCCGTCACTGCCCACCCCGGGACGCGTCACCGGTGTCGCGTGTCATGCTGCTGCCCGTCACTGCCCACCCCGGGACGCGTCACCGGTGTCGCGTGTCATGCTGCTGCCCGTCAGGCGAATATCGAGCACCGTCCCCGGTATGCGTCCGTCGCTCACGCACCGCGCTTGTCGCACGCGGAGCCGTGCGCTGGTCCGCGCGCGCTGCGTGCTGGCGCGCTGTGTGTCCCGCATCGGTCTTGGCGTGTGCGGGTTTGTATGTGATGTACGGGGTAATATAGGGGTGTAGCTTCCTGTTCGGCTGACGGGGCGCCAGGGGACCCCTAACTTGGGCTCCAGGCCCTTGACTTTGAGGAGAAAGAGGGTCAAATCCTAGGAGAAGTCAGTTTGTTGGCGTATTTTAGGGTAGGTGCAGTCATTTTTTACTGTTCAGCTCGTTTTGCGAAACTAGGAAACTCCCCTAGACCATTTTCCGAAACCACCCCTCTGGGATAACGTATACTAGACCGTAAGCTATGCTCAAAATCGCTGTTAATGTGTAGCACTTGTTTGTTTCCGGCGTCTACAATACGCCAGTTATTGTTACCAAAGTAGGCTTCTGAACGGCCTAATGTATATTACTCCCGTCTCCAGTCGTGCAGTAACGTCATGTGTCGCCAAAGTGCCGGCCGTCCGGGGTAACCGTTGTCGGTGCTTCTGGCGGCCGGGCCTCTGGTCCGTGGTTGGGCCGGCGCCTGACACAGCCGGGCGTGCTCGGCAGGCTCGCACATGCCGCTGGCGGCGGCGCGCGCGCCGGCGGCGGGCGCGCGCGGGCCGGCCGGCGCCGAGCCGGTCGGCTGGCCGCGGCCGGCCTCGCGCTCGCCCGGCCCGGTGTTGGCCAACGGCACCGGCCGCGGTCGCGCCGCCGACGCCGAGCGGCTGCGCCACCTGCTGAGCGCCGACCACGCCCTGCGCAAGCACACCGACGCCCTGCTGACCTACACGCCGGCTGAGGTGAGCTGGAGTGGGACGGCCGGCCGCCGCGGGCGCCCTCGGCGGCCGGCGTCCGCTCGTCCGAGCGGACGCGACGGGGTCGTGTCCCGCCGCCCGTGCGTCGGACCCGTGCGCGACGCGCTCACCGCGCTGTGTTGCGCGGAGACGCGGTCTCCGTGGCCTCCATGCGATGCACCACGGACGGCCTGCTACGTCCTCCTGGGCTGCCCTGGTGTCGGCTCTGAGAGCACGCGCATGTCCGGTTGACGTGATTGTGCCCTTGTAGGATATGTTGTTTTTGTTGACGCTTGTGGGCGCCCATCTTTCTGTCACTGTTGCTAGATGGAGACAGTTTAACGTCGAAGCATGAAAGCATGATGTCTCATTGTCATGTGTCTCGTTACATTAAGGTGGTGCGTTGGGAGGGGGGAGGAGGGGGATTGCTATCCCCGTACTCCCCCGTCCCCAACAGACACTTTGGTGGAAAGCGAGGATCCATTGTTATTTCATTATGTTGTTGAGGTTGAAAAACGTGATGAAATTGCCGTTATAAAAGCTGTTCTGCATCTATGTTTCGTTGTATGTTCTACGTGCCTCAAGCTGACCAGGACAAGCTGCACGCAGACGCAAATGTGGTTTTCTTGGAACCGGTTGAGTTTGTGTATAGATTTAGTTGTGATGGCTACTTACTGATTGATTGTTTAAGTCAGTGTTGTTCATTTTTCGGAGGAACGTCAGCTGGCAAGAGGAGCTTGTCCAGAGCACGAGACCAGCATAATCATGGCTACGATAATTTTGGGGCGCCATTTTGCTTGCCCTTACCGAACGCCTCACATGATGGTTTTTGATAACACTAAATGTGACCTCTAGTGCTGTCGGCTGTCGGCGGTGCCATGCCTCTGGTCTGTGTGCCGGGGAGCTGGCTGTAACTGTGTCCCGTTCTCTGCTCTGACAGCTGCGCGCCTTCTCGCCGGAGCGGTACCAGGAACTGGGACTGTCCAGTAGTGCCGTGCGCCGGCTGCGCGCCCTGCTGGAGCAGGAGACAGCCGGTGGCCGCACCGGCCCGCAGCGCCGCGCCGCCAGCAGGGCCGGCTCCACCGACAGGGACAAGCCGGCCGTCGCCGGCCGACCCGAGCACAAGGTGGGCTCGTCGGCCGCCGCCAGCCGACCCGAGCACAAGGTGGGCGCGTCGGCCGCCGACGGCTGCTGGCCAAACACGCCAGGCGGTGGGGCCGGGGCTGTGGCTAGGCTGGGCGCATTGGCGGCGCTTCGTCAGACGAGTCGTCACCTGCCGTTTTGTCCGGCGCTTAACTCTGCCAACGACGGCTTAAACTGCAAGCTCACGTAGCACCACGTGACGTGTGTCCTGCTTGCCTCCTGCGCTGAACGCGGCCTTTCGATAGGCCGTTGACGGCGTGTCGCGGCCGCGGTGCCGAGTCAGGCTCGTGAGTGGCTGTGTGCGGCGCGCCACGGCCGTGGTGCCGAGTCAGGCTCGTGAGTGGCTGTGTGCGGCGCGCCGAGGCCGTGGTGCCGAGTCAGGCTCGTGAGTGGCTGTATGCGGCGCGCCGAGGCCGTGGTGCCGAGTCAGGTTCGTGAGTGGCTGTGTGCGGCGCGCCGCGGCAGTGGTGCCGAGTCAGGCTCGTGAGTGGCTGTATGCGGCGCGCCGAGGCCGTGGTGCCGAGTCAGGCCCGTGAGTGGCCGTTGACGGCGCGCCGCGGCCGTGGTGCCGAGTCAGGCCCGTGAGTGGCCGTTGATGGCGCGCCGCGGCCGTGCTCAGACGCCGTGTGTCGCTGTGTGTCGGCAGGCGGTCGTGCCGACGGTGGCGCCTCGCTCGGCCGCGGCCGCCAACACCGTGTGCAGCGTGCCGGCGGCGGGCGTGACGCGGGCCTCGCCCCAGCCGCGCCCCTCCTCCACCCAGACGGTACGCCCCCCCCCCCCCCCCCCGCTATTTCCCGCAGTGGCCGCGCGCGGACCCGACCATCGGTTGCAAGTGGTAGTTTTGGCGGACGTCACCGCTTTTAGATGCACCGTGAAGTAGCGAAATGAGCACTGTGTGTGTCGAGTGTGTTCCATCTGCCCCTCGATTTTCCAGTGGAAATGACCGCGCGACACGTGAGGTGGTTGGCACGTCCCACGCGCGCGTGTGTCGCCGTCTCTGTATGTCTGGTGGGCACGTCCCACGCGCGCGTGTGTCGCCGTCTCTGTGTATCTGGTTGGCACGTCCCACGCGCGCGTGTGTCGCCGTCTCTGTATATCTGGTTGGCACGTCCCACGCGCGCGTGTGTCGCCGTCTCTGTATATCTGGTTGGCACGTCCCACGCGCGCGTGTGTCGCCGTCTCTGTATGTCTGGTTGGCACGTCCCACGCGCGCGTGTGTCGCCGTCTCTGTATGTCTGTTCTCTGTACCGCCCCCGTACGCGGGTGTCGTTGGCAGACGCCTGCGGTGGCGATGCCGGCGGTGGTGCTGCCGGGCGGCGGCCAGCCGCTGACCATGCCCACCTACTCGGCCGTCACGGCGCAGAACATCACGTCGGTCGGCGGCTCCGTCGGGGACGGTAGGCCACACAGACCGCCCCTCGCCTTCCTTCCTGTCGCTCTGCGCTCGTTGGCTGTATGTGCGTGCGTGCGTGCGTGCGTGCGTGCGTGCGTGCGTGCGTGCAGGCGTGCGTGTAGGCGTATGGACATGACAGGCCCTCACCAACAAACACGTCTGTGAAGGAGGGGTGATCCCGGAAGAGCTGTTACACTGTCGACTGCCACGCTCGTTTTCGTCTGGTGAAGAGTGGCCAAGCTGGATAGCAAATGACTGAATGGATTGCAAAAGCCTCTATCACTCATATACCAGATGGATGATGCTTATGAATGACAAGGATGGATGTGTTATTTGTGATATGTGAAAACAGACTGCCCTTTGATTTTAATTCCCAGGGTGTTGTGGATGCTCCTCGCTCCGGCTCCTGCCTACCATTTCCATCTCTGTCAGGCTCGGATCGTTTCCCCGTCAAACCTATTCGCAGCGATCATGCAGCCGTAGCCAGAATAACTAGTGGTTAATAAGACGATTGTTACATTAATAATCGATACTGAAATATGTATTCACGAATTTGGGTGTTTACAATATTTGTAGTGCCTTCCGTGACATACCAAGTACAAATCCAAAAACATGGGGCCTGTTTCAAAGTGTGGTATGGTCCCGCGTAAATGAAAGTGACCATCGGCTGTTATAGGTAAGAATAACCTTGTAGGGTGAACTAATCCGGCCATCCAAACCCAACGCCAGTTATGTATTAATGTCAGGGATATGTACATTGAGTATATTTAGGGCTTGGAATGGTAGAGATCTTGGTAATAAATATAGGATGTGAGTGTGTCTCTTTCGGTCGCAACAAAGCGACGCTGTTTGTAAGGCGCGGATGCAGCAGATGTGAAGTTCGTTTGCCCGGTGCGTTGCTTTGCACCACCGATTGCTGTATTCCATGCCGAAGCCTTCAACCTACCAGCCACTGCGACAGCCGTGGGCGTGCGGCACTAACGCGCCGTGGCGACGCGTGCAGGGGCCCGGCCGCTGCCGCTGGAGGGCGTAGCGTTCGTGGCGCCGCCGAGCATCTCGCCGCCGCTGTCGGCGCCCGGCTCGTACCGGCTGCCGCCGAGGAGCGGTGGCGAGCGGCCGGGCGCCGCTGGCTCGCCCTCGCCGCCGGCGCGGCCAGAGCTGGCCGGCAGCCCGGCCGCGCCACCGCCGCCGCCACCTCCGCCGCCGCCGCCGCCCCCCGCCCCCGCTCGCCAACTACCTGCCGCCGCCCTACTCGACGCGTCCGCCGCCGCTGCCGCCGCACCTGAGCTTCGTGCAGTACACGCCCGGCGGCAGCTTCCTGTCGCCAGCCACCTTCCAGTCGCCGGAGCTGAGCTACCTGAACCCGGCGTTCGCGGCCTACCAGACGGTGCAGTACGGCGGGCCGCTGTGCGGCGGGCCGCCGCCGCGCGCGCCGCCGCCGCCCTGCCGGCCGCGCTGCGACTCGTGCTACAACTGCGGCCGCGAGGGCCACCCGGGTCGCCTCTGCACGGCAGAGAGCGTCGGCAACGATACTAGTCCGCACAGTGAGTAGCGTCGTGGCTGGGCTGGGCTGGGCAGGGCGCCGGACCGGGCCGGGCCTCGGATCGGATCGGGCCCCCAGACACGCTGTGGGCCGCTCACAATCAGTCAGACGGTGCCACCGTCGCGATGGAGCCGGCCAAAGTCATGTCCATGTCCACCCCCATGCAGTGCGCGCTTGTGGATAGTCTATTATCGCACGTGACAGAGTCCGGGCGACTTCTAACCTGTCCGTCTTCCTGGCTTTGTTACAGACCAGTTCAAACTGAGCTTCGTTTCTTCCATATCGGAGAACTGACGGGCAGCGTGCGCGGGCGCGGGCTGCGCACGGCTCGCGGGCCCCGGCTCGCCGCACCTCCAGGGAGCAGGCTATGTTTGGTGTCCACCTGTCTTGTGCCTTTAGATTGCCTAAGTTTATTATCTGGCTTCCGCTGCTTGCTGCCGTCGGCGGCAGCCGGCCGCCGATCGTCGGCAGTCGCAAGCCACGGCGTCGCCCGGGCCCCAGCGCCTGCGGCGTGTGCCAGGGCCTAGTGCCCATCCAGTGCAAAACCATTGTGATTGTATGTGTGATCCATACGTTATATCATGTGTATTCGGTAGATGTCGTTAGGCACGAGAGCGCGCGCTCGTTTTTTGTAGTGTGTGTGCGTGTGTATGCGTTCCGTCGGCGCGTGTAGGGTGGGCGGGCGGCGGGGGCGTGATGACGTGCGCCGGGTCGCGGGGCGCCCGCCGTGTGATTGGTCCGATCTGGTGTCGGCTCAGGGGCCGCCAGGCGCGCGGGGCTGCTCCGGTCGCGCTGCTGGCCCGGCAACACCCCTGCCCCGATCCGGCGGGCGGAGGCCGGGGCCCGGCCGCCAGAACCAAATGTGCATTTAATTTATCCGTCGGCGGGCTACTGCATTTGGGCAAACGCGGAGGCAGTGGCCGTACAACCAGACGCGCGGTCCACACCGGAAACACGCGTCAGTCTCCTGGGCGCACACTTGTGCGCCTCACACATGTGAACCCCCCCCCCCCCCCCTACACACACATCACACAACGCCGGATGCGCTCAGAGGTGTGAGACTGCACACCAGCGAAACGGCCTCGTAGTTGCAGGTCGCCTGGTTCTTGCCCCGTTTCTGGTTCGGCATTCGGTGACCTAGATCACAGACAGGCGAGCACAGTCCCCTGCCACGCCCGCGCTCCGACAGCCACACGCCGACGCAGGCGGTGGCTCGGCGGGCGCGTGAGGCAGGCCGGCCAGGGCGGGCTCGGGACATCTGGCCCAGCCGGCCGTGAGCCAGCTCGGCTGGACTCGGGACACCCCACACAGGCTGGTCGGCCCAGCTCCGGACACCTGGCACAAGCGGGACAGCAGGATCGCGCGTCGCCTGCCCAGCCGTGTGATGTGTTTTCTAAGCCTGTTTTGTACACCAGCGAACAAGGTTTTAGCGTTGCGGTGACGCGTAGAATCAAGTGTTGTCCTGCCTTCGGCGGCGCGGCGCCGGCTTCGCGTGCCACCTGCTCGGCCATCGGGTGCGGCCAGGGGTGTAGCGACAGTTCGTGTAATACGGTGTATTCGTCATTTAATGATGTTGGTAGGAGGGCCATCTAGCCGGTTCGGCGTTTCGTGTAGGCTATACCAGTAAGGCGAGCGTAACTGCAAAACTCGAGTAAATTTTTTGGTATAAACTTCATTTAATATCACCGTGTGTTATTGTAAACCGGTTTCAAAATGATGTTTAGAAAAGCGGTTAATAAAAAGGATAAAAACACGTCGTGATGCTGCAGTCCAGGATTGATTCCCTCCCCCCCCCCTTCGCATGCGCTCTTCGTTTCAGTTAAGTCGTGAGTTGTGAGCACGTAACCATCGCCGGGCGATTCCCCACACCGGCGGCGGCGGCCGAGGTCCCGCTGTGACGCCAGTCCGATAGAGAGAAAGCGGCATAGAAGGCGCGGTGTAGTCGCTGGCAACGGCCCAAAATACGTTATTCATCCACTGCGCTACGCACTTGCGTCAGGCGATGCTACAGACAGGCTTAAAGTGCGCCAACGAAAGCATCGAGGCGCGTTATGGTGCTGCCGAATACTCCGGCTTGACCAGCTTTAATCACGAGCCTAAAATAGCTGCAGCCCTCGGCATGCCCGCTTTTAGGTTGCCACAACACTGCGGTATCGGGCTCAGCCCGTGGTGTCGGCTCTCGTTAGAATTCCTTTGCTCCCGAACGTAGCCTCCAACACTCTGCTGCTGTTCACAGACTCTTCGCTTCGACAAGTCGCGTTATTGCGATAGCAGATATATTCGATATGAAATAATGTTACGATCAACAAGCCTACTTACATAATATGATTGCCCACCTGGCACCGCAAGCACCGATCTCTGGAACTCGGCGAAAGTGCCGTACGTGGGACGGTGCCAAACTCGTCCCCAAAAATAGGGGCGAAGATATCTCAGCACGCAGGCATCAAGAAACATTTGGCGAGGCTAAAAAGAATGGGTTGATCCCAATCGAACGCATGATTTTCAAGCGCAGATGATGACGCGTACGTTGCCTGAAGCCAACTCGCCGCGTAAAGCAAACTGCGTATCACGCGGCCCATGGCAGCATGGCTGACAAAACATAGGACACATTAAAACGGGTGCACAATGATCATGAAAACGAGTCATTTATGACGATGCAATAAATTACGATCAGCACAGTCAGCAAACCAACGCGATCCCTGAACCCTCCAAATCACACCGAAAGCAAAATATAGGCGAGCAACGCACCTGAACAAAATAAGATAACAACCTGCCGCCCCAATAAAACAGCACGAGGAGCACCAAAGTCTCGCATCTGACTGACTCGCTGGATCGCCGTTGGCCCGTCCGCGCGCCAGCCTCGACACCCGAGTACCAGCGCCGGAGAGAGCGCGGCGGGCCGGCGGTCAGTGGCCGGCCGCCGCGCTGGCGAACGGCCTCAGCGGCGCGTCCCTCCCTCGTCACAAGACAGTCGGGCCGCGCCGGCCGACACTGGACGAGCGACGGACGGGCGTCCCGGCACGGGCCGGCCCGCCGCCGCAGGCACTCTGGTCAGGTGGGGCGCGCCCGGCACCGGCCGCCGCTCGGCTCGCTGCCGGCCGGGTCAGGTCGGCTCCGAACACGTCACGACCGGAACCGCCGCAGCAGCAGCAGACACACCACGCCTAGAGTGGCGTTCGCGCCTGTCAGGGACGGCGCGCCGGGTCAGCAGCGCTGCACCCTCCTCTGCTTGCCCGCCGGCGCCCGAGCCACGTCGGGCACCCATACACGGTAGAACAGCGCATGATTTGACAGGCGTTAATCCGCAGTTACAGACGCAAGCTCCGGGCAATGCGTCGGAGGTATTACCGGCGTCCAAGACAGACCAGATGGCGACCATAACTTAAAAACTAGGTAAATGGTGAGGGGTTGGCCAGTCAAATGATAATAGTCTAAAATTAACAGCATGTAAGAGCGCGCTGCATTACCGTCGACCACATAGGTAACCATCATGCAGCTGCCAGTGCAGCGCACGTTAACCGCGGCCGTGGTGTCATTCCATCGAGGCAGGAGCCCGGGCCCCAGCTTACCGGTGATCTTTTGTCACAACTGCTCGTCCTCCTCGGTGACCGTGGCGGCGATCTCGGTCCGGCACATCGGGCACTGCTCCAGCTGGACGGCGCATATCGCGCAGAAGCCCCTGTCGGCCGGAGAGAGCCCCCGGTCAGCGGCTGGCACGGGGCACCGGCGGCACGCCGCTCCACAGCGCCACACAGCGGCTACACACCGCGCAGCCACACAGCGGCCTACACACCGCGCCGCCACACAGCGGCCGCACACCGCGCCGCCACACAGCGGCCGCACACGGCACGCACCGCACCGCCACACAGCGGCCGCACACAGCACGCACCGCCAGACAGCGGGTCGGTGACACGCACGATCCCGAGCAGACAGCTCCGTTACCGACGCAGCGCCCGCCTCGGAGCTGCGAGAGTGACGACGGTAACGGTCACGATTTCAGGAGCACCGGGCACGATTGGCCTTCCTCAGCACGCCCTCCCGGAGTACTAGTGGTGACCCTCCACTCAGCCGCCATCCTTCCAGCCCACAGAAATTCGGTTCGCACCTAAATCACTCCACTCTGATCCGAGTGGATCTGGCCTTACCGAACTGATCTTGCCTTGCCTTGCCTAATTTGACTAATCGGGCATTGCCCCATACAAAGCGATCACTGTCTAACGTCACTTTCGCCCTTCCGGCCGTGCTCGCTCCGCCCGTGGTGGTCCGGGGGCGCCGCCGTCTCGGCCGGAGATCCGGCGCCGGCCGTGCTCGCTCCGCCTGTGGTGGTCCGGGGGCGCCGCCGTCCCGGCCGGAGATCCGGCGCCGGCCGTGCTCGCTCCGCCCGTGGTGGTCCGGGGGCGCCGCCGTCTCGGCCGGAGATCCGGCGCCGGCCGTGCCCGCTCCGCCCGTGGTGGTCCGGGGCGCCGCCGTCTCGGCCGGAGATCCGGCGCCGGACGCCATCTCTCGGCGATCGGAGACGAATGAGCGCCATCAGCGCGTCCAGACGCGCGCCGGCACGCGGCTTCCGGACCGCACGCTCGGCCCAGCCAGCTGAGGGGTGGCTGTCCAACGGGCATGCCGACAGCGCGAGCCCAGTGGGCTGGAGGCGGGACGGGGGGGGGGGGGGGGCACGGTGCGAACAGAGCGGCTGACACGAGTGGGCTGGGGGAAGGGGAGGGGCGCTCTGAGAATCGTGTGACAACCAGCTGTGGCTCGGCTTAATGAGCGGCTGCCCGCATCGGCGAGTTGTCCTGCGACACCAACACCGCACGACGGCTCCTGGACGGGCGAGGCCAGTCGGCGCCGCGATCGCCGCAGAGGACGCCGATGACGCGAGGTGACGTCGCAGCAGCGTTCAGGACGACCGCCGACTCCGACCGGGGTTTTACGAGCGACCCGAGCCATCGCCGGTCCGCCGGCGGCGTGCTCCCACCGCGAAGACGAGTGGGCAGACGGACTTTAATGCGACGACGTGGAAGATGGAGCACAAATCAAGACGGATACAGGGAGAGCGATGCAACTGTATATCGCCGATGTCGCAGCGGCATCAGCCATGTACCGTGAACAGTCACCAACCACAGCAGCTCTCACAATCATCTGCGTACCACGTCGCCCACTGGACGACAAACTGACCGGAGAGGGAAAGGCCGCTGGCTCTGCACGCCGGCCGGACCCCAGCCGACGCGGTCCAGCGGGGAACTCCCACGCCGAGCGGTGATAGGTCACCGCTGCGGCGCAGCTCGCCGGGAGGGGGACGCGCCAAAGCAGATGGATACACCACGGCGCCTGGCAGACGCTCCGGCGACCGGACAGCGTCTCCGGCGGCTGGCCGCTACACAGCTGGGCAGCGACGGCTGCTCTGGAGGCGTCTCCCCGTCCTTTCGCTGACGCGGCGACGGTGTGAGGCCGGCCCAGCCGGCGTCCTCAGCTGACAGCGCCTCCCGCTGGCGCCGCGGCCAGCCTCCGGTCACCACGTCAGTACGCCCGCCCGCGCCGCCGTCTGGCCAGTGTGCCGACCGCCCGGTGTCCGCGGAAAGCCTTCCGGCGGGCCGTGCGGAGCCGCACCTCATCCACCCCGCCGCCGCCGTCCGGAGTGGACTGGTGCTCGCCTGTGAACGGCCGGAGTGGACTGTCGCTCACCTGTGACTGGCCGGAGTGGCCTGACGCTCACCCGTGGCCGGCCGGAGTGGACCCGCGCTCACCTGTGACCGGCCGGAGTGGACCGGTCGGAGTGAACTGACGCTCACCTGTGAACGGCCGGATTGGACCGGTCGGAGTGAACTGACGCTCACCTGTGGCCGGCCGGAGTGGGCCCGCGCTCACCTGTGACCGGCCGGAGTGGACCGGCACTCACCTGTGACGGGTCTGAGTGGACTGGCGCTCACCCGTGACCGGCCGGAGTGGGCCCGCGCTCACCTGTGACGGGTCTGAGTGGACCTGCGCTCATCTGTGACCGGCCGGAGTGGGCCCGCGCTCACCTGTGACGGGTCTGAGTAGACTGGCGCTCACCTGTGACCGGCCGGAGTGGACCCGCGCTCACCTGTGACGGGTCTGAGTGGACCTGCGCTCACCTGTGACCGGCCGGAGTGGGCCCGCGCTCACCTGTGACGGGTCTGAGTGGACCGGCGCTCACCTGTGACCGCACGGCTTCAGCGATATGCTGGCTGGATTGTCGAAGCACAGCGTGCATGCGTCCTCCTTGACGCTCATCTGCCGCAGCTTGTTGAGCCGGATCTGCCTGAGGAGCGGCCCAGCCAGCACAGTCAGGCAGCCGGTCCCGGTGCTCCGCCACCAGGCGCCAGATGAGATTCAAATCAACGTCAGTGCCATAATCTCCTGAACCAGCTTCAAACGCAGTCAGTGGTGCTGACCGCACAGGCCGTGGTACGCCGGGGAGCACGCGCACTGGCACCCAAAGTAATTCATGGTCGTCTGGACGTTGGCGTAAACTGACAGACAAAACAATGGGAAATACCGAATTTCATCTAGGCACAAAGCTCAGAGCGGCTTCTTCACAACCAACACCATAAAACCTTCCTATACTTTAACCATTTCATATAAGCGACGGCATGTTAACATCCAGACCAGCGCAAATAACCAAGGCAGTTGACGCCCCCCCCCCCCCCCCAAAAAAAACAAACTCGATAGCAATTCCTCCTGCCATTCTGGAGAGACAAAGGCATGCCAGCGATCTACTCGTTCCACTCCAGCAAACGCTGCGGCCCCGCGGCGGCAGCCAAGCGATGACGCCTCCACCTGGGGTTCACCGCCGGCCGGGGCGAGGCCGCCCCGCCAGCGCCACGAGTGCGACCAGCCCGGCTCCTCCCTGACCCCAGCGCCAACTAACCGCGGCACGCCGCCGGTCGGGACGAGGCCGCCCCGCCAGCACCACGAGCGCGGTCAGCCCGGCTCCTCCCAGCCCCAGCGCCGACTAACTGCGGCACGCCGCCGGTCGGGACGAGGCCGCCCCGCCAGCACCACGAGCGCGGTCAGCCCGGCTCCTCCCAGCCCCAGCGCCGACTAACTGCGGCACGCCGCCGGTCGGGACGAGGCCGCCCCGCCAGCGTCACGAGTGCGACCAGCCCGGCTCCTCGCAGCCCCAGCGCCGACTAACTGCGGCACGCCGCCGGTCGGGACGAGGCCGCCCCTCCAGCGTCACGAGTGCGACCAGCCCGGCTCGTCCCGGCCCCAGCGCCGACTAACCGCGGCACACTGTCGGCCGGGGCGAGGCCGCCCCTCCAGCGCCACGAACGCGGTCAGCCCGGCTCGTCCCGGCCCCAGCGCCGACTAACCGCGGCAGCACGATCCGTTCCTCCTCCGACAGCGAGCCGAACTCGTTGAACGTGCGGAAGGCCGTGTCGGTCGGCGGGTGGACGAACGGGTCGCGGCCGAAATTGAAGCGGCACTGCTGGAACGACATGAAGCTGGCCGCCGCGAAGAAGCCCGTCCTGCAGCATAGACCGCCAACTTGGCGTCAGCGGCCGCGCGCAGCCGCCGGCAGCACACGGAGCACACGCGCCAACCGGCACCGCCAGGTGCAACCACACAAACGGCGCGACATGGCCATCTTCACAGGACGGCACGTGCGCAGAATAATGCAGATCCCGCACCGGTCCAGAGCAACGGGCTGCTTTACAAACCTGCGTGCTCAACGCACGCGAAAACGGGCAAACACCTCTCTCCCTGTTACCCATAATCCATACCTGCTCCGACTTCATTAAAGAACAAACAGCGCCCGCCTAACGTCGCTGCAGCACTGCCTCACGACCGCCGAGACGGCTGACCCTCCCCCCCCCGCGCTCCGATCCGCTCGGCCCAGGCACTGACGTCACGCTACTGAAGAGGTCCTTGATGGGCGGCAGCGGGTCGCCGTTGAGCGAGAAGACGCAGCGGGCGCCGTCCACGTCGAGCAGCGCGCCCAGCACGTCACCGGGCCGCCAGCAGCGGATGCGTGTGGCTGCGCGCCTGCGCGTTGTGCCACAGCAGCTGGCGGCAGCCGTCGTACGCCAGGCTGTTGTCGTCGTCGCCGATGCCGTAGCCCTCCTGGCGGACGGGCGGGCCGTGAGCGCGAGGCCACTCACGGGGTGGTCACGGGTATCCGCCACACCGCGGCGACAATGTCAGCCGCTCCAGACAGGGCCCACGCCAACAAGGGACTGGCAATAGGGAAAGGCAGAGTAAGTGGACCACCCCGAGACGGGTGCCGGTGGCTTGATAGCACAATCATTCCATCAGAACAGGTTGAGAAAGAACGGCAGTTGGCGACCGAACATGGACATTCAGTGGCAGTCAGCTTCATTTTTCACGTCAGCGCGACGCACCAGTCGGAGCGTTCGCGGCATGGATCAGCTCTCTCGTGCGGAGCTGTTGCGCCGACATCTTTTAACACGGGCAGAAAGTACACCACATGCCCAAAACACCAGCTCAGAGAACGGTCATTCTGCATTACATTCACCAACTGTCCCTGTTCTGCCCGTAAACAGACGGGCGGCCGCCTGGACACGGCACCCCCAGAAGCGGAGCAGCGAGCCGTTGGGCCGCCCAGCGGCTCGGCGTCTGCCGCGGCTACTGACGTAGTTGAGGAAGCGGCTGTTCTTGGTGGCCCAGCCGATCTGCATCACGCCGCTGGTGACCACCGTGACCTCGTAGTACCAGCAGCCCTCGCTCACCGGGAACGTACAGCGCACGCTCTCGAACGACGAGGCGTCACAGCGCGCCTGCGAGACGACGGCATGGGGCCAGGCGGGGTCAGATCAGCAGACGACAGCCCGGGGTCAGACGAGGTCAGGTCAGCAGACGACGGCCCGGGGTCAGGTCAGCAGATGACGGCCCGAGGTCAGGCGGCGTAAGGGATTATGGTGGCGCACCGAGGCAACCGTATTGCCCCCCCCCCCCCACACACACACACGGAGGTGGACCACAGAGTGATGAGAGCACAGCACCGCAGTGGCGCGCGCCGCCCAGTCACCCGCTGACCGAACACGGCCGCGAGCCGCCGACGTGTGCCAGCGATGGCGCACTAGCCATCCGGCCGACACCCCAGCTGCCCACACCCCGTGACGTCACCAGCCGGGCCGCGTCAGACGTGCCAGCGCAGCCCGCCACGGCAGGCCTCCCGCTGTCGCACCGACTCGCCAGCGGAGCGCGCGGGACGCCCGGAGGCGGGTTCGGTCGCGCTCTGAGACGCGGGCCGCCAGAGGTATGCTATCTGAAGGGCGGCCACCGCGCTCACCTGCAGACCGTCCGGCGATATCTCCCAGAGCGCGCGGGACGCCCGGAGGCGGGTTCGGTTGCGCTCTGAGACGCGGACCGCCAGAGGTATGCTATCTGAGGGGCGGCCACCGCGCTCACCTGCAGACCGTCCGGCGATATCTCCCGGAGCGCGCGGGACGCCCGGAGGCGGGTTCGGTCGCGCTCTGAGACGCGGACCGCCAGAGGTATGCTATCTGAAGGGCGGCCACCGCGCTCACCTGTAGACCGTCCGGCGATATCTTCAGGTACTCGGACGTGTCGTTGCTGTTGAGCATGACATTCAGGTTGGTGAAGTCCTGGCCTTCGTAGGTGAACGGGCGGCCCTCGACGACGACTGAGGACAGACCAAGGTGACAGTGGAAACGGACGTCGCGTCGCCGGTTACGGCAGCAGTCTGCGGTGCATTCCCAGCCATACCTGAACACAGCTACATTAACGTCGGAAGGACACAGAAGATCACGACATACCCAGCCTGCGTGCACGTTCGACACGTATCGAGCAACGGATGAAGCCCCAACCCAGCTCCGGCGCGTCACGAGCGAGCAGGTCTCGTTCTAGCGCACAGCCCACCCCAGCCGGCGCGGGGTAGGCACCGACACGGCAGGGCGCGCGGCCCCTGCGCACACCCGGCGGCTCTACATCTGCGCACTCCGGGTCAGCGTCGCGCAGAGGCGAGGACTCCGCGCGACGACCCGCGCCTGTCAACGCCAACGGGGGGCGGTGCGACCAGCGCAGGTGGGACGCGACGGAGCGCGCCCAGGCCGACCGGACAGGCCCTAAGCCAGCGCTCAGACTTGTCCCCGAGGCCCCGACGAGCGGGACTCGTGGCGCTGCGAGCCGGGCGGGCCGAGGCCCTGGCGAGCGGGGCTCGTGGCGCTGCGAGCCGAGGCCCTGGCGAGCGGGACTCATGCCGCTGCGAGCCGAGCGAGCCGAGGCCCCGACGAGCGGGCCTCACGGCGCTGCGAGCCGAGGCCCTGGCGAGCGGGACTCATGCCGCTGCGAGCCGAGCGAGCCGAGGCCCCGACGAGCGGGCTCATGGCGCTGCGAGCCGAGCGAGCCGAGGCCTCGGCGAGCGGGCTCATGGCGCTGCGAGCCGAGCGAGTCGAGGCCCCGGCGAGCGGGGCTCATGGCGCTGCGAGCCGAGCGAGCCGAGGTCCCTGCCGAGCGGGGCTCCTGCCGCTGCGAGCCGACGAGGGGCGGACGGGCCATACGCCGCAGGTCTAGTGTGACGTCACACGCTGCCGCGACAGCTGGTGGCCCCCCGCTTGTGGATCCGAGATATTTCTGGCCGAAGAAGTCGGTGACATAATGTTCTGTTACCTAGTGCGCTCCATCCAACTTTGTCAGGTGTACTTTCCACAATGCTTGACAAAATTAGCACAGGCGCAAAGTAAATTACTATACCTGAGGAGCTAGCGCGGCTAATGATGAACTGTAAATCTTCCAATGGCTCAACCCTCCAACTTCAATGGAATTATGACACGATTGGGGGCCACCAAAATATTGTTTCGTACTTCAATATCGTAAGTGTGAACAGATTGTACGCCTAACCGCCAGCGAATGAACCCAAAGCATGCCTATATAGCGTATCCCATCTTACCATATATGTACGGTCCGACAGTCTACTTAAGCTGTCGCATGCGTATCTTTAGAAATCGTTGCGTTCTCGCCGCTGCGAGAAACCTTAAATAAATGTAACGCTTCAGCCTGCAAGACACGGGAACGCCGCGCGACATCTCGCCACCATCGCCGCCAAACAGCTGTGCTGGCCGGTGCACCGAGGATCGGGCTCTAGAAACGACCAAATTGTCGTGTCATCTCATCGCTCCTGCAGCCATGATTCGGCCTGAAAGCAAAAAGCGCTGGTGCCGCCATAACTACCTGAAACTAGATCATAGAAAAATCGCTCCATTCAAAATAAAAAACTTCCCAACTCGGTCGAGGCAAGTTGTTGAGTTCGGAGATAGAGGACAGGCAGACCGAAGACAGCCGCGGCACCCAGGATCTGACTCTGGCCCCGGTCTGGGTCTGGGTCCTGGTCGTGGTCCTGGTCCTGGTCCTGGTCCTGGTCCCGGTCCAGGTCCCGGTCCTGGTCCTGGTCCCGGTCCAGGCTCCCGTCCCGGTCCCAGCCCCGGTCCCGGTCCCGGCTCCGGCTCCGGCTCCGGCTCCGGCTCCGGCTCCGGCTTCGGCTTCGGCTTCGGCTTCGGCTTCAGCTTCAACTTCGACTCCGGCTGCGGCTGCAGCTTCGGCTGCGGCCCCGGTCCCAGCCCCGACCTCAAACCCGACCCCGGCCCCGGCCCCGGCCCCGGCTCCGGCTCCGGCTCCGGCTCCGGCTCCGGATCCGGCTCCGGCTCCGGCTCCGGCTCCGGCTCCAGCATCGGCACCGTGTCCGGCACCGGCACCGGCACCGGCACCGGCACCGGCACCGGCACCGGCACCGGCACCGTCTCCGGCTCCGGCTCCGGCTCCAGCCGCGATCGTCGTGCCCAGCCGGACTAGCCACCATCCGGCGGCGGCGCGCGCCGACAGGCCCGCCAGTCGGAGCCGACAGGTGTCCCACAGCCGAGGCGACATACCACACCAGGCTGACATACACAGGGGCACAGAGGTCCCGGCCAGGTTACTGGCGGAACATTACGTCGGCCCGAGGCGCCGACTTTACAGCGGCTGCTTAAACACACAGCGCAGAGCAGCGCAGCGAGCACGGGATATTTCACCGCAGAACAGCGCAATATTGCGTCCGACTCCCGGGCCGGGTGACGGGCGGTACTCACAGAGGTTGTCGAGGCACCACTGGGCGCAGAAGCCGACCTGCTGGTACTCGTAGTCGGCGTGCGTGACCCAGGCCTCGAGCCGCAGCAGCGGGTTGGGTTCGAGCGCCGCCACGCGCTGCTTGATCGTCAGCTTGTTCTCGCCTGTCGAGGGAGTTGGCCCATGTATGCGAGGAGGAGGAGACGGTGGTGATGCGACTGGGCAAGAGCGCTGGCGGATCTTGGGGGAGGAACCGTACCGTGTCCATGTTAAGGTAAATTACGGGGCGACGAAACACGGCTCAGCCAACGGATGGCATTGGCGTGGAGATGCGGGAAGCCTTCAACAATGCAATTATCCATAATATAAAGATAATTCTTAAAACTAACCATAGCAATTGGCGAATGTAAAGAGTTTTTCCTCTGCAGCAGTTATAGCAAAACAAAAGACACGAGAATGAAGTGAATAAAAAAATTAACGAAAATGAAAAGCGACACATTCTTCCGGCAAACGTACCAGACGGACTGACATGAAAATGCATGCATATTCATTATTCTCTGCTCCAATCGAATTATAACATCCAATAATCACTTAGAATTTAACACAGTACACCAAATTCGCGAACAGCTCCCATGAACAGCTTCTTTTGCGATGTTCTAATACCATTTCCGTGTTTTACATGGTCGCACACGCCGCGAAGTTCTCACGGGTGTCAACAGAAACTAGTGCACGACAAAAATGATAACTATGACATCATTCGAGACGTTCGCAATCTAACAAGCCCCTGTAACAGTGCTTGACCATTGCTGATTGCTGGCGCGTTCGCGCCGGTTCCGGTCCCCGGGGCTGGAGCGCCGGGGTCACTCACTGGTCTGGGCGAACTTCTCCAGCGCGATCAGCGAGAACAGGATGACAGTGGGCGAGTGCTCCAGCCTCTGTGGAGGGACGTGCGGGGTCAGAACGGCCCTGAGCCGCCCAGTGCCTGGCCGACACACCGCGCCGTCGGACGACCGGCGGACCGCGGCGGGAGGCGGCAGACAACCTCACAACACGCCCACACGGAGAGGGCGCGCCCGGCCGGCACACCACGCCGTCGGACGATCGGCGGACCGCGGCGGGACGGCGGCAGACGGCCCCACAACACGCCCACACGGGCAGGGCGCGCCCGGCCGGCACACCACGCCGTCGGACGACCGGCGGACCGCGGCGGGACGGCGGCAGACGGCCCCACAACACGCCCACACGGGGAGGGCGCCGGTGGGAGAGGCACAGGCGGCACAGCAGGGCCACCTGAACTCCGCTGGTGTACGGTGGTTCAGAAGGCCGACGGAGGCCTTAGAGCAGAACCCTGGTATCCGCAGAAACAGGACAGCCAGCTGACAATCACAGCGGACGCCACGCGATATGCGCGAGGAGGCTGCCCATCACCACGAAGAAACCCTTCGTGGAGCCCGCACAGGTAAACTTCTGATCTAATACTATCACACTACCAATGAGATGGCCACAGCAAGGGAGGCTGCCGGAGAGAGAAAGGCGCAAAGGAGAAAACTCTCGACATTGCGGGGCCATAAAACAAAACCGCCGCCACCAGGCCGTAACGAATCCAGCGAAGACGCATTGAGGACACATTGGTCCTTTACACCCGAATGACAGTCATAAAGTGAAATACGACCGGCACGCCGAGTGACAATTTTCCAGACCTCCTCTAGCCGGCAGCCTGCCAAGCCTCCGAGTCGCGGGCAACTTGGCGCGTTCCGCCGGGCTCGAGGGGAGAGCCCCAGTGGCGGACGAGCTGCTATGTAGTTAAGTAGTTAAGACACGCGTGTAGTTAAGACACGCGTCGGCTACCAGCGTTCCCGGCGCGCAAGGGGAGCGGAGCTCGATCGTGGGGCGCCGCTGTGCGGATGTGGTACAGACCGCGACAGGACACTGGCTTTCCAGCCACCGGTATGCATATTGCCTACACACCACAACACGCCATATTACAACGGACAGGTGCTATCAAGAACATGCTCATCAATCGCTTGCGCAACCAAGTGCACCTTCAAGCGATTTGTGTTTGTACACCCTGCACTGGCATGTGGATGTACAATTCATGCACACCCTGCAGTACGTGTGTATGCCATTGGGGCTTTACGATGCATTCAGCTGCTAGGGCTATAAGGCGTCGCCTGCCTCTCACCCTGGCAGGAAGGGGGGGAGGGGGGGGGGCATCGCGGGGAATCGAACCCCGTACCTCTGGTACCCTGCAGTGTCAACAGGACATATTAGGACCACGGAGGACCCGACCCCGTGCCGCCTGGCATCATCACACGCCATCTGGCAACGGCGCCGACTCTGGGCTGCATGACCAAGCGCAGCGGCACACACCGCCGACAACACGATCCCGCCGGCACGACAGCTCAGCTGGCAGCGACAGGCTGCAGACCCCGCAATCCAACCGACACCGTACGTCAGCTGGCAGCGGCACAGCCCTCGAACCGCGCCGACCGGCGCGAGCACGGCGCGGCGGCCGGCACCAGTACACACCAGGATGTCGAGCAGGAAGGCGAGCGTGTCGTCGGTGAGCAGTACCATGGAGTTGGGGCCGGCCATCTTCTCCGCCAGGCAGCCGAACACCACGCACACGTTGCGCAGCAGCACCGGCTTCTTCTTGTTGTCCTCCACGTACTGGGCGGACAGCTTGAGCTGGGCCGCCAGCCGCACCACCAGGTCCTGCCGGGTCCGCCACAGCCCTGCATCAACGGCGCTCACGGGGCGGGGCGAGGCACAGGCACCACTGCACAAGTGGTCTGGCGCGCTGGCGTCAGCGTGGGTGATGACAGCTACCAGCAACAGGAAATTATTGCTGCCTACGATAGTGAATACAGTGTGAGTGTTGCTACAATGTCCGAATGTCATCACGATGAGGTGAAAATGAAAAAAATCGCCAACGCTTGCAGAAAACGTTATTTTGCGCAACAGCCACATATTCTGATCAGCCCATCCAATCAAGAACCAACCAAATGCGTTCTCGGAGGACCAGTCAAACCGATCCTGGTGGGCAGCATGACCTACTTGGTGGTCCACGCGCGCCGTGACCTATCGTGACTGTCAGCGAGCCCCTGTGACCTACCTTGGTGGGCAACATGACCTACTTGGTGGTCCACGCGCGCCGTGACCTATCGTGAATGTCAGCGAGCCCCGTGACCTACCTTGGTGGGCAGCATGACCTACTTGGTGGTCCACGCGCGCCGTGACCTATCGTGACTGTCAGCGAGCCCCGTGACCTACCTTGGTGGGCAGCATGACCTACTTGGTGGTCTACGCGCGCCGTGACCTATCGTGACTGTCAGCGAGCCCCGTGACCTACCTTGGTGGGCAGCATGACCTACTTGGTGGTCCACGCGCGCCGTGACATATCGTGACTGTCAGCGAGCCCCTGTGACCTACCTTGGTGGGCAGCGGGCAGTCGTCCAGCAGCAGCAGGATGACGGCTGGCCCGAGCGGGTCCGACAGCGGAATGACGTTCACCATGGAGAGCACCACGGTCAGCCAGCCGTCCTCCTTGTCGGCGATCATGTGCAGCGCGATCATGGAGCGCGGCGGGTCTTGGTCGCTGCCATCCAACGAACCGGTCAGCGCGCACACAGGCGGCGGCGCGCACGCTCTGGTCAGCGACCACCACCAGAAGCCGGCGGTGCAGCTGGTATTGTCACGAGGACACATTCTTAGTCATCACCGACAGCTAGGGGCAGTCTGAATCTTCAGGTTATGCAATGGATGAAACAGCGGCCAGAGGCGTGGCCAACGGTCGCGGACTCACATATCCACCAGGGTGCGGACGTTCTCCAGTGTCTCGAGGACCAGCTTGTCGACCAGCGCCGGCGAGCGCACGAAGATGTCGCAGTCGAGGTAGTGGCGGTCGCCGCCGTCATGCGCGGCGCCGTTGCCCTCCAGGCGGCCCCGCGAGCCGTCCTCGTCGGCCGGCGCCGCCAGACAGGCGCACAGGCAGCCCCCCATGGCCGCTGCCCTGCCGGCGCAGATGACACGGTCAGGTCCGGCAGACAGCACGCGGCCAGAATCGAACTCCGCTCAGGGATGATGGTGATGTGTTTCCAATAAGATCTGCATGATGGCTTTTCACTTTGGCATGCCATTGGAGACAGAAAGATGCAGTGGATAGTCAAAGAACAATCATGTCACCTGCTTGTGAACACGCACGCGCATGAGCGGAGTTAGCAGCATGTTGCGTACGTTTGAGTTCCGTTGACCAATTGGATGGCCCTGAACGGTCCATGTTCCGTCCAAACGCGTAACTTGTTAAATGTTACAAACATGCAGAATTTTCATACCAAACTGAAGACATCTGTAGTAGCCGTTTGATCTGAAGCGCAGAGCAGCAAGCAGGAATTTCGGCAGAATTAGCGAAGGTTTCCAAAGAACTCCTCTTTACAATGTGTGGTAGTATTAAGGACGAATCGCATACAGCTTGCTGGCAGAAACATAATCATCGGCCGTTTCGAACACTGATGTCATCCGTCAACGAGTGGGTGTGTCGGAGTCACAGAATCGATGGACGCGACAATGTGAGGACTCCGAATCACAGGCAAGACAAGATCGAACTGCCAGGTTGACATCGGCGCCGCGCTCGTGAATGAATTGTTCGTCACTGCAGGGTTATTGTTAAAAACGCTGTCGTGAAATGACCCAGTCATGATCGTCTGAACTGCGCTCATGGCTTGCCGATCATAAGGTTGCATTTGGGATCACACATCATTCATGAGATATTCTACAAGCATGCCAGTTTCTAGTGAGTAGTGTCCATATGTGTAAGCAAATGACAGGTACAGATAACCAAAATGATGTTCAAATAACCCATTATCCACACTGGCAACTCATACAGCCCTTACAACCAACATTGCTGGTTGCAGGAGAAGGATGTAGAGGTAAAGAAATGCTCTGATATAATGCCCAATCACTGCACCCAAGCATATTTTTAGACATTGGCCATTATCAGAGTACAAGTTTTCTTTCTTTACACTGTTCATTCATGCAGACAAAAGGAAACTTTGTTCACCAGGTGATCATGGCCAATGCCCAAAAGTGAAGCAACAAATAGGTACAATCTGAATTTGTGCCTGACTTTAGTTTGTGATCCTTTAGTTATTCCAGCCATCAACTGGTTTAAAAGAAGTGCTTCAGCATAAGCAAAACACCATCACAAAAATTACTACCCTAAATGACACCATATATCTACAATTCCTGGCTCCTGTAGCCTGTTAAGATCCTGGTGCATGACATTGACTAATGGCACTGTTCCTGACCACACTAATGCAGAGTTCTGTCTAATCAAAATTCCTCACATGTCCATCATATGAATATGTATGACAATACTGATCTGAGATGGTGGCATGCCCAAAATGAGCACATCAATAAAACTGGAGTACAGCTTTACAAGTGGTATCTATGATAATAATCCTTGACATACAAATATTCTTGTATCCTATAAAAGCACACAAGCAATGCAAATGAGCTGTGGATATGGTGTGCATCCAGTCTATGCCCAGAGACCTGTGGTATGCAAAAGCTGACTACATAGCAGTGATTCAACCTCATTTACAAACATTGACCCTGGCATGCTTTGGTCCAATTTGGCTTTGGTTTTGGTTCAGCAGTACAAGCCTTCATGGTTATTGGTAACACAATGTGTGCATTATACTCATGTGATAGTACAGCTTTATATGAACACAACTAAATAACACCCCATTTTGTTATAGTAGTAATAATTCATCAACAGTCATAAGTCAACAGGCCTGCATCATTAGCTGATGAATGCTTACAGCAGAACCATGTTATGGAAATTTGGCATACAAACAGCAGTGCCCCATTTTCAATGTTTGACAATTCACATTTTTCTTGCTTTTGTCCAAGAACATGTCAAAACCAGCTTTCAGTAGTTCCTTAATATCCCACATATGTGATAATCAATCTATCACCACTGTGGGATCACCATATTCAAATTATATTGTTATAGGTCTTTTGTCAGTTGCTGCCATACTTGAGAGCTCTGCTTGAAGTGACAACACCTTTAAGTACATCACTATTTCAATGGCAATGTCAAAACTAACACATTGTGAAAGCAAGCCTTGTAAACACCTAGCAAAAGTGACACACTGTGCAAATGTAAAGAGCATATCCATAACTTGTGATTTTAACATAAAAATGGTTGCAATGAAATTTCTGCTGTACCAGCAATACCATAACATAATGACATATAATGCTTGTCCTGTAC